ATCCAGTTGGTTCTTTCCAGATGGAACCAAAATAACATCACCAACGCAACATCTGTATATTGGTAAACCATTTTCTTGAGACAAAGTTCTGATGTTGTTGCTCGGTGATCTAATTTTGTCACAGGCCACTGGATGCCCTTATATGATGAGAATTATACTGATCAGGAATACAGTATAAAGTATTGTTCATGCCTTGAATATTTACATCAGGATGTTTATTAATTTCTCTGACAATTTCTTGAGCTATTTCATACGAATGGATAATATCAGCATCACTTGTTTTAATTGTTATATCACCATTTAGAATCATCTGGACAATTGTGGTAACTTTATACTTGGTTACTTCTAAATTTGTTGTACACGGTAATCTTTAACATTGATATTAGGAAATAATTCTAATAAAAAATCTTTGTCTTCAGCAATCTTGTTTAACATTTCCGTTGGCATTTCCCACAAAAGCGAATACATGTGTGGATAAAATTTTTTGTATGCGTAAATTTGATTTGTGCTAATCAACTGTCCACTATTTAAGGTGAAACCTTCGCACCAATAATTATCTGGATAATCTTCCAACATGACTTCATACAGAACTTTTCTTTTAACAATAAAATAGTCTCCGCTCCAATTACTGTCCCAATGAGATCTCCAATTTCCACTTTTTTATATGAAATTAAACTAGATCCTGCAAAACAATGTACACCAATTCCATCCACTACGTATAATGATTCAGGAGCATATATAGATAATTCTAAAAGTTCAAGATTTGGATAAAACTTCAACACGATTTCTGGTTCTTGAATAGTGTTTTCTACATAATAAGCAAAACAATTTAATTCAGCCGTAGGACTCCATAAACTCCAAAAACCATTAGAATCAATTAGACCATAATTATATATATAGTTTTCAGTGATATTCCAATTGAGGAAAGTTACAGGCATACCTGTAGTCCAAATAAAAGTATCGTTAACATGTTCCAAACCGATCCAGCATTTATCAAAAATGCTATCAATATTCATGATGTGTTGGTAAACATAATTTACATCCGCGTTATTTATCATCATAGGTTTATTTTTATAAACATTTTTCCACATGGATGAAGTTATTTTTTCAAATCCATAGCAAGTATGTTGCCAGTCAGGGATACTCGTGGTGTAGTATCCACTTGGGCAGTTTGATTTTTGGAGTTTGATGTCATTTAAGCACACAGTTGGTAATTTTATAGAACAATCCACTGCTTCCAGTACAAACTTATGTTGATTCACAATTTGTAATGATAAACAAGAACCTAGATTCCTATTTTTGATCTCGATGTAAACAGGAGTTTTCCACATTCGTCCTAGCAAGAACCAGACATATGGTCCATACTGTTCCAATTGTTTTGCGGGTAACCATATCCTATCGTACTTTTCAGATAACAAATATTCGAATAAAACAGAAAGCCATTCTTCTGATTTTTGTAAAATACTTTCATCATTTCCTAAGCTCCTGCATCTTTCCTCCCATGATGTGTAAGAGATTTCTATACAATGCCCGTTGAAATAAAAACTGGTTAATGTACAATGTTCGTGGTAATTGTAGACGTCTTGAACTTCTTGGCAAGGCCAAGCTTCTTGTGGTAACCAACATTGGTAAACACAAGTCCTTTTGATGAAATGTTTGTTTAGGCTGACGCACCTTGGTATTGAGTAGGATTCTCTTCCATGATTTGTAGGAGGCCACTCTACATAATCTCCTGAAACACTTCCAGAAATTTCGGAAGTACAACTCTGAAAGATGAAATAAATCATTGATATTAAAAGAAGCAACAAAATTGGCATGTTAGAAAAACCTCAAAGATTTTAGGAGCATTTTAGGAGCTTTCTACTTACATCTTCTACGTCCTTTCTCCTGCTTTTGCTTGAACAAAAACTGAATTTTTCCGTGGTTGTGGTTGTTGTTATGGTTGTTGTCTCTTTTTCGGTAGTATAAGGTTCTGTTTGAATAGATGTTGATGGTGTTGTTGTGCCATCTAAGGATGTTGTTTCTGTCGCAACACTTATTGCAGTAAATGTTGTTATGTGAGGTTTTGTCATATTTGGCCAAGCATTTGCAAACAGATAAGCATTCAGTAAAATAATAGCTATACCTATAAAATTAATAGATAAAGCAAATTAGAAATAGATTGATATAAATAGTGAAAAATGTTAATGAGAATTAAAACATTTTGAACAATATATAAAACTAGTGGTGCATGACATCGTGTCTTAAGTCAAATTGCTAGAACTCCAGTACCGAAAACCGTGCAAAACTTTGAAAAAATTAGACTTTTGGGAAATTTTGAAATACTATTAAATAAATTATAACTTTAATATTTACTGTAAATCAAATAAAATTTTACTTGATATTTATTCCTGTATATTATTTATTTATAAATATTATTAAAATGTTATAAATAATTTTCATAAAAATCTATAACATAAGTTAAATTTTAAATTATTATTATTTACACTAATTTAATTACTAATACTACTTCATGCACTATTGAATTTTAATTAAAATCAAATGAAATTTTACTTAATATGTATTAATGTATATCGTTTATTTATAAATATTATTAAAATATTATAAAAATTTTCATAAATCTGTAACATAAGTTATATTTTAATTATTTTTACTAATTTAATATTTCCTCAATCGCTTTTAAATTTGAATTAAAATTAAAGTAAATTTATTACCACAGAGTATAAAATAAAAATAAGCACTTTCAAATTAATTTGATTGATTTAAAATTATTTAGTTAATTATAAAAATTAGCACACACTAACCAAGTCTTGTAATACAAATTTTAATTTCAATTAAAACATATATGTCTACTTGTATACTATCAAAATTTACCCAAAATACCACATGGTAAATTTCCTTTTTTACACCAATTTATTAATTTATGTGTTTTTTATTAGTATTTATATATTTAAATCTATAAACACAGATCATATATAAATAATGGTTAACACTTTTCAAATTAATTTTTATAATTTATAAATAATAAAAAAATATTATACACTAACCATATCCAATAATATGCATTTTTGGTAACACCCCAAACCGATACGAATCCATGAATAACTTTGACACATTTATAATCACATTCTGGCAAAATTTTATCCTCTAATTCATTTTAATCAGAGATTAATTAATACGCATGCTTATAGATTTTTTTTAACTAAATTAGAACCAAAATATAATAATAATTCATTATGAAGTCTGCACATTTATTTAATACGTCAATTCTGATTAAGGTAATACGAATATTTGACAGAAAATGTCTAACTGTCGTATATTAATTAATTTTTATCAAATATATAATAAATTTTTATTGTTCTGATATTTGCAGAAAGCTAGATAATTGTTTGACATGAGGACGCGCCTAGATAATAAATTTTCAATATAATATTAGTTATAAATAAAAAAAGATTTTTAACAGACATCCACTCAGTTGTTTCCAAGAAATTTAAACTTATATTTAAATAAGTCTTTCATACATATGTAGTCCCAATTTGACACTTTTTTATTGAATAAAAGTACGAAATTTCAAAATTAATATCTATATAATAACTAAAATTATACTTAATAATGTAATAATAATGAAGCATAATTTATAGAATATTACTAATACTATTAGAAATAATACAAATATTTTATCACATATGTCTATAAGAAATAAAATGATTGTTATATATATATATATATATATATATATATATATATATTTATATATATATATATTAAATTTTTTAAATTGCTTTCTTAAATTTATTTTTTATTTTTCAGTAAAATGTCTTGGCATATAATGAAGCTTTTTTAAAAGTTTCTATCTTCTGGATTTTGAGCAGTGGTGCAGATGCTGACATCAGGAGGGTATGTTTTACTAATATTAATTATTTGTAGTATAAATATTTTCAAAAAAATCAAATTGCTAAATACTGCTGTCCAGTATCCTAAAATTTCATTCGAGTGTATGAATTGTTATAAAACAAAATTTAAACACAAAGGTAGCAATTTTTACCATCTTTCGTTAAGTAGTTAAATTAAATGCTAAAAGTAGTTAGTGAATACGCCAAATAAAACTAATTTATTATTAGTTCTTATCAAAAAGACGATAAGGAATTAGTCAAGGCATTGATTTGTTTTTTAGCCCACATGAATAGTTCAATCAATGTGTAATTAAGCCGATAACGTTCTAATTACTTTTCAGTGTCGATTCTACATGCGGGTTTTGATAATATGTATTTTATTTGTTAAATTAATATGCAAATATTGCAATAATAATCGACAATGCTTAAGCGAAACATATTTTTTTACTTTGTTTGAAATCATATCACTGTGATAAAATTGTTACAAATTGTGATAAAAATTTAAAACCTGCAATTAGTTTTCCTCAAATTATCCACAAAATTCACATTATGCTGATTGGATTATGAGATTGTGATATTAATATTGGATTTTATTAATGAAAAAAACAATTTATCTATATTCATAAACCATTTATTTTCCATAAAAACCTTTATAAATTATTTCTTAAAACTTCTATTTATTCATCCAGTTAATCCAGGAGGTCTCACGACATTTCCAATATTTTCTCCAATTACTCCCAAAGGACTTTTTGTTGTAGTCGTGAAAATATTTCCAAGTCCTCCCAATGGACCCCTAGTAGTACTTCCCTGTCCCAGAAGACCTCCTAGAGCACCCAAAGGACTTTTGGTCGTCGTAGTCGGTCTAAAAACTTGCTGAATATTATTTCCAACTTGTTGAACTCCTGATATAAATCCCTCTACAATTGGATTCCTTGTCGTTGTAGTTAGTGATCCAACCAAATTTTCTATAGGCGATTGGGTCGGATTAAATATATTAGATACTGCATTTCCGAAATTTTGAAACGCCAAAGCCATGTTATTAAAAGCCGTCAATATTTGTAAAGCAGTTGCAGTATTTTCAAGTGTACTCTGTCGATCAGGTGTAATCGATACAGGTACACTGATAATGGCACCCACAAAACTTGAGTAAATAATAAAATGTGTCACAGTCAACATGGTTACTGTTTGTGGTGGATATTTAGATTTGCTTGTCTATTTATATTGAATAAAAAGTCCTTGTTTGGTTCGGATTTGATAATCTTCAAGTACCTACCAGCATATTAGTTGACAAATTTTTATTGCAAACTGTAATAAAAATGCTATAAAGTTGAGATTTTAGCACAAAAATTGCTCAAGTGTGCCCCAAAAAGAGCAAATTGCATGTTTGCTATAGTAGTTGAGTACAACATTCTAATGCAATGTATAATATACATTACACATTTGAATAACTTATGGAAAATATATGATGATAACTGTAATTGTGAGAATTATATTTTTATAATTATCTTTTCATTAATCAATTTTATTTCTTTATTCCAGTTCCGAAGAAGTATAGATTTACCAGCAGCCCATGCCTTAATATCAGACGCCAAGTTACCACGAGAAGTTTCACCAGATTCTTACCATTTAGCCTTAATTCCTGATATTGTACGTGGTACTTTTTCTGGTACCGTTAAAGTAAATGTCACATGGCAAAGTGAAGCAAATAAAGTTGTTCTCCATGCTCATCCTGATCTGCAAATCGTACATGATTCTGTGAAAATCAGGAGCATAAATGCGTGAGTACAAGTCAAAAACTTCAAACGGAGCTTTGTATTCCTTGGAATATTGTTTTTTATGATTGCCTCAAATTTATCACTGATATTGTTCAAGGTCCAGGCCTTCGCCAACAAAGTCGCCTTCAAGTACATTAACAGTATTGAGCACAGAACGACATCCAAAACGACCAGTTTACATCATAAACCTCAGTGAAAAATTGCAACGTGGAGCTCATTGTGAATTGTACTTGGAATTTTCAGGAAATATTACAGAAAATGGTGATGGACTATTTAGGACAAGTTATGAAGACCCTCAAACTGGAGAAAAAAGGTACTATCAAATTTTAATTAAATATTTAATGTTTTTCATGTTTATTTTTTTTGGAATCCAGGTGGCTGGTGGCAACACAGTTTCGTCCTAATCTTGCCCGTCAAGTTTTTCCATGTTTTGATGAACCAGGATATAAAGTACCTTTTGAAATCAGTATAGCTCGTGCCAGGAATATGACAGCTTTATCCAACATGCCTGTTAAAGAAACAACAGACAAGTAATAAGTTTATTTTTATTTGGTGATTTAAAAATGTACATTTTCTAAAATTCTGTTTCTCGATTTCAGGCCTGATGATCCTGATATGGTTTGGGATCACTTCTTAAAAAGTCCGCCAATTTCTACGTTCAGTATTGGTTTTGCTGTTTCAGACTTATCCTACATCACAGCAAATATATCCGAAACAGAAACTGAAGATTCTGCAACAGGTACCTGTTCTATACCTTCCAACTTTATAATTTCCTCACTTTGATGTTTTTCGTTAGAAATTCGAGTGTGGGGTCGAAGTGACTTTTTGGAACATGCTCAAGAAGCCGCAGAAAAAATAAGAACTGCCTTGAATGTATTGCAAGACTATTGGCAGGTTGCTTATCCATTGCCTAAATTAGATTGTATAGCTGTTCCTGGTTTGCAAAGTGTTAGACCGGCGGATAACTGGGGGCTTATTTTATTCAAGTACAATAAATATTTTTAGCAATTTTTATTTTAAGATTTGTTTATGTTTACTTGTATTTTATTTCTGTGCAGAGAAAGTACTTTGCTAGGTAGAGGATATTATCAAATATCACAAGAATTGGTTTACCAATGGTTAGGTGCTTTGGCTACGCCATACTGGTGGAGTGATGCTCACGTGAATAAAGCTTTGGCAGGATTTTTATCTGCATACACAGCCTTAAAGGTAACTAACAATTAATTTATTTTAAAATTATTTTCTGACTGTGTATTTTTTGATAGATTGATAATGGTTCCGAGCTGGAAGGCAAATGGCCAATGACCATATTATATTCAATATATTACGAATTCAGCAAAAGATATCCTCATTCGAGAATAACAGGAATGAAACAAGAAACGACATGCAGTAAAACCGAATTAGTTTTCAGAATGTTGAACTACACTTTGGGTGAACAAACTTTCAAAGCTGGAATGCAAAGATTTATGCTAGACAGGTAAGAACCACAACTTAGTGCCATGTAAAATGTGTTGATGAAACCATTTTTTTATCAGGCAGTATACTACGTTTTTTGGAGATGACGTCTGGAAATCTCTTACCGATCAAGCTAGACATGACGATGTTCTTTGTGATAAAGTTTCAGTAAATGAAATAGCTGCTTCCTGGATTACCAAAGACAGAATTCCAGTAGTGACAGTTACTAGAGATTATGAAGCAAAAACAGCTAAAATCAAACAGGTAAAATACTATAAATTGAAATATTTTCATACGTGTCTACTAATTGTTATTGATTATTTTCAGGCAGTATATTTACGTGAAAGGCCACATGATGTTCCAGAGCAAGATAAATTATTATGGTGGATACCTTTAGTTGTAGTGACACAGGATAAATTGAATTTTACTAATTCCAAACCTGTAAAATGGATGAAAAAGGCAAGAGAAGTCACTTTGGAAAACATGCCTGAGTCAGATCAGTTTATCATTGTCAATCCCGAAGAAATAGGTCAGCACCACTTTTAATCATTTCCATGAATATTTTGTATCAATTATATTTTATTTAGGTCCATTCCCTGTTAACTACGATGAAAGGAATTGGAATCTTTTGGCAAGGTACTTACTGGATCCATTATCCAGGCATTCAGTGCCCGTGTACACACGTGCAAAACTGCTCCATGATGCTTGGAACTTGGCATATGCTGGTGATCTTTGTTTTACAGCCGCTTTTAACATGACTTTGTTCATGAGAGATGAACGAGAACATTTAGTTTGGGATCCAGTTTTTACCATGATCGATCATATTGGAAGGCACATCGATAGCTCAGAGGTCCACAAGAAATTTGAGGTAAAAAATGAATTGGAAATATACTTAATATTTTAATTAAAAATAATTTTTTATTGTTGTTTTTGTAGATTTATGTCCGAATTCTTCTAACTCCTCTTTACGAAGAACTTGGTCCAGAACCACAAGAAAACGAAGAAGGTTGGAAAACAAATTTGAGGCGTTTGTCTAAAAATTTCTTATGCAGAGCTGGTTACAAACCTTGTATCGAAGAGGCTCAAGCTGCTTACAAACAGTGGATGGACAGTGAAAATCCTGATGAAAGCAATCCGTAAGTATAAAAATTATTTATAATTTAAAATTTTCATCAAATATTTATTTTACCACTTTTGTAGAGTTCCCAATCAATACATATGTCCAGTTTTCAAATGGGGCACTATGGAGGAATGGGAATTTGGATTGAACAGGATTATAGATTTCCCATCTTCAAGGAAAGCAAGTGAAAGGACTTATTTGCTTAAAACATTGGCAGGATGTCCTATACAGTCTAATAAAATTGAGAGATTATTAAATATAACGATTTTGGAGCAAAATGGAAATTTTACTGATAATGACATATTCTTAATATTCAGTATGCTGACTGGAGGATCGCGGGGATACACAACTCTTTTTACGTTCTTGTCGAAGAATTGGGATGTCATCAAAATCAGGTAGATTTTATAATATATACTAGAGTTATATATATATATATATATATATATATATATATATATTTATAAATCATTAAAATTGCGCATTCACGTCACAACATCTTAATCATCTTAACTCATGGGGATTTTTTGGGGTCGAACACGTAGTTCCATATAAAATTAATATTGTTTACATTAATTAATATTCTCATAAATCACATCCATTCTTCGAAAACATTTAGCATTTTTCATTCATGAAGCACGTGTGTTACAATTTGATCATCCATCTATTTGCAAGATTCAAAATAATGGTAAGTCCAAAAATTGAATAATGCATAATTCCTCAGATTTGCTGACAAATCAAATCTGTGGGACAAATTTAATCCCATTTTTCGTTCACCCAAGCATGTGTATTACAACTTCATCATCCATTCATTTGCAAGATTCAAAATAATGGTAAGTGCAAAGATTTATTAACCCATAATTCCTCAGATTTGCCGACAAAACAAATCTGTGGGACAATTTAATATCATCTGCAACAAGTGTGTTTACCACCCAAGAAGGTCTAGACCTCGTCAAGGGTCTTTATTCTCAGAGAAAAGGAGAATTTGGAAGTGCTGAACATATTATTGAAAAAAGTATTAGAAATATTAAAGAAGAAACCAAATGGAGTGATGATAATTTACCAGTTATCGAAAAATGGCTTGATAATTATTTGAATAATAATAATAATGCAGGAGCCAAATTTATGGGATAAAGTGACCCAAGATATTATTCAAGATATAACTATTTCTACAGATTTATATTAATATTTTGTATGATTTTTTGGCGAAGGTTTTCAAGAATGTATGGAAAGAGCTTGTTAATTTTTTGTGTTAAGTATAAATTTAGATATTTATGTATGATGATATTATGACACTGACTAGGATTGTAAAAAATCGAATAAATATTAAAACCTTTAACCTTGTATTATAATTTTTTTTCATCTAAATATCGCGATATTCATGCAACTTTTATTAAGGCGATATTTCACTAAATGTATTTGTTTTTTCGGCTTGATTTTTTTAAATTCAACATTATAAATATTTATGATTTTTCTCATAATTATGTTCGGAAATCTATTGGTATATTTTATTAGTATTTATGTTCTTTCATTTTTGGTTAATATTGTTAATGATTTATTATTTTAAATAATATTGTTAGCTTCACCATATACCCATTGAAAATTTTTATTTAGTAAAAAAAAATATTTTATTTCATTCATACACCAATAAATGTAACCCGTCACAAAATTACCTTACAATTCATTATTTTCTTTGTACTAACGGCATTTCAATTATTTTAAATAAAATTTTATAAATGCTTATGAGTATTCATCGTGTATAAGATCTTGCAAAGGTGTATCCAGAAATTTCGTGTTTGTTTATTTTCTCCTAAAAATTTAATAAAAATTATATATACTTGGTAACAAATTTTAATACAATGTTAGTAGTATATCTTTATAATTTTAATTATTCATTATTAAAATAATATCAATAATATAATTGGCAAAACAAATGAAGTTAATACTAACACCATGTTTGAAACTGCTGAACCTTTGTAGCCTTCAGCTTCCAACCACGTTAATATTTTGATTTTATTTTTATTAATCCATTTTATATTTTTTTCAACATTTGCAATTGCAGATTCCAATGAAGTCACAGATTTTAACTGAAATTTATTAAATTAATGAGTAGGTTTCATATAGAGAAATTAGAAAAATTAATATACCTTGTTTAAGTCATCTTCGGATATTAGGTAGTCAGCTAAACCTTCTATGCAATCGTTAATATCGTTGTATCTAAAATATGAAAATAATTATAATAAATTCGAAAAAAAATCAAAAAAATATTGAAATTATTTGATCCAGTATAGAATTATATCTTCAATTATTTTTTTATATATATTTTACTTACAATCTTTCCATTTCTTTTTTGTTAGAAACCAAAAATTCTAAACAGGCTTCTGTCGCATCTCTTCCAGACCAATATAATTTATGAAAAACTGTATCACGTTCTTTCTTCCACAAAATTGAATTCTCATCAATTGTCATCGATAAAAGCCTGAAAACATAAAAATTAGTAGAAATTATACAAGAAATCTAATTTGGTTCAACTTACTCTTCAATTTTGTCTTTAGAACTTGTGCAAGCCAATCCGGTGATATAATTATTCCTCTCCTGGTTGGAGGTTGTTCCATTCAATTTATTCATCACGAATTGCCACAAATCTTCATCATCATCACGTAAAGCTATAAAATAAAAATATGAATAATATACAAATTTCTATAAAAATCGTTCATATCTTTACCTCCACATAAAATTCCACCAATAATATCAGGTTCAATATCTCTTTTTCCATCTTTCCATTCCTTGGCAATTTTTTGGCTTTCGCTGATCATTGGTAAATTAAGTTTGCGAACCCAGAATAAGAGATCGTTTCGCAAAAATACTTGCATAAAGGAATCTTTGTCTGATTGCTCTAATGTCAAGGAATTTAAAACTGGTGCTGTCAAGGTTTCGATAAATGCCTGAGACAAATGAAGCAATTAGGATATTAATAATGGTTTTTCAAATAATTTTATATTCACCTGAAAACTACTTGAGTCTCCTAACAACGTATATAAATACTCTAATTCATGATAAGCTGCTGTCCAAGGTAGATAATGATGTTCTTGTTTTAAATAAGAAACCAATTGTAACGCAATTTCATACTCTATTACACCGGAAAATGCCAAATTCAAGGCGTCATCCATAATTTGTGCCCTATTAAGTAAATGGATCTTTTGATAGTCCAAACTATTTAAAGTGTTTGATAGAAGCAGCCAATTTTTAGCATCATAATTTACTCTGTAATAACCTGTCCAAATTGATATGTATGAGTATTTGTCATGAAACCTGATATTTGGATCAGTTACCTTTCAGTTGTTTATTTACAATAATCCAATCTTCAGGTCCAATATTTGTATAAACTACTATAGATGTACCAGAGTCGGTCAACCATTCTATATCCATCTCATCATTCAAACTAGTTTTTTCATTGGCAATTGTTATTGGAACCCAGTACCTGGTTCCAAGGTCTTCGTGTTCATCAGATAAATAGCGTTGCTAAAGAAGTTTTTAACTTAAATTTGTAGATTGAGGTTGCTTATTTGTTTATATACCTGGGAAAATTCAGTCATTCCATTTGTATAATTTCTGGTAACTGTGATCAATGGAAAACCTGGTCTGCTGGTCCAACTGTTCAAAAATTGAGCTAAGTCTACACCTGCCGGTAAAACATTCCCAGCTCCGCCTAAAGATAAAGATGCATAGAATTTTGATGGATCTACGACGTCACCATTCCTATAAAAATGATACAAATGTGATCATCACATTTCTGGTGGTTTGTATGTTGAAAAGTTACCATTCTTTTAAAAAGATGTCTAATCCCTTGTGCATAACGTCACGTGTTAGAACGTTCTCCAACATCCAAAGTACTGATCCAGCTAGAATAATAAAATATTATCTTATGAATCTTTATTTTATTAATATTAATGTTTATTAATTTCTGTATATTTACATTTTTGATATACAATATAATCGAATAGAATTTTATCTTTGCTGGCGATAGGTGCTGACATGGCACGTGTTTTGTATTTGCTATCATGGAACATAGCATACTGCATCTTTTTAACGACAAATTGGTCCATCATTTTCCATTCGGGGTATATCTATCGAAAAAAAATATAATTTACATAGTTTATTCTTTTCTTGGCAAACAATTTTATCCAATTTTTGAATTTTTTTATTTTACTTCATCTGTAATTTCTGCTTCCAAAATTGTAGCCATCCTTCGCTCAGCCACAAATATTCCCACCAGGATGGTGTCACTTCATTTCCAAACCAATTATGGGAAATTTCATGGGCAATCAATACTGCCACGTTCAATTTATTTGATTTGGTCGAAGTTTTATTGTCATAAATGATATATGGTGTCCTAGTAATAAAAGAATAACAAACTTGTGGTGAAATGGTATAATAAAATTGTGTATTAATATAAGTTACCTGAACGTACACATTCCCCAATTCTCCATAGCTCCCATCTTAAAGTCAGGAATATCCACCAGATCCATTTTTGGTAATTTGTATTTTCCAAAAGGTTTTTCCAAAGCTTTTAAAGCTTTTTCACCAAATTCTAATGCAAATTCAGCATTTTTCAAGCTACCTTTATTTGTCCAAACACTCAATGTGTTATCTTGATTTTTTATGGCTTCATAATCAGATACCAAAAACGCAAAAAGGTATGTTGACATTCGAACTGATCTTTCGAACTTTGTGATTACTCTGTCATCTTGGATTAATCTAGTAAATTAAATAACCAAGATTAAGGAAAATTTTGGACGCTTAATAAGATTTATGACTTACTGTTTATCAATAGGCATATTAGATCTGGAAATTAATCCATTGGCATGTTCTAAGGTCAACGTGAAAAATGCCTTAAGGTGAGGTTCATCATAACAAGGAAACACCAATCGGGCAGATGTTGGTTGGAATTGGGTTACTGCTAACCATCTAAAAATATATAATATATTGTATAAACTTTTATTTTACAAACTAGCAAATTCTTTTCCTTAATCCTTGATGGTTTCTTCTATGAACCTATCTAAACATTTTAGAAACAAACCAGAACTTAAAAAATCTTGAACTTGAACATGAAATTTACCTATACTTGAGGTTATTACATAATTATTATTAAATGTCGATATAATTTTGCAAATTGAATCAGACGCAAATATTGTTTTTATATAAAAAAAATCTAAAAACTACTACGTACTATATAAAGTTTTTTATATAATCAACCTTGATCACTTTCGTGATCAAAACAAAGCAATGATTTGCTCTAACCAATTTTCTTGTACTATTTTTTTAAGTACAATTTATTTATCATGTTCAAAATTATGTTGTCAATTTTTTATAATGTTTCAATGATTTCACAAGGGCAATAGCCATGGTTACGTCAATTGAGGAAAAAACAGAGCAATAGAATTGTTGTTTTTTTATAACTCATAACAATGTTTCGTTGAAAACATTGTAAGTCATTAGAACTGACCTAACATAAATAAATATCGTTATGTAATAATAATTTGTTGTACTAAAAAAAAATTAAAATCACAACAAGGCGTCTCAAGATTTCAGTAGAATATGGAACAAGTTTTAATGATTGGTATATTAGGGTGGTCCTTAATATGGACATTTTCGAACTTCCTTGCTTAAAACTTTCAGAGAATTGTTTTTTATCAATTTGGAGCCATTTGAGCCCCTGGGAGCAAGGAAATTCGAAAATGTCCATATTAAGGACCACCCTATAGGTATATATTTTACAAAAATTAATCCTTACCTTTTTTCTGTGGAATTCGGCAAGAAATACGAGCTCCTATACAATCCAGTGAGATCATCTCTAATTTTACCTTCATAATCAATTTCCAATATATACTGCACCTGATCTCTCAATTTCTTCTTCAGTTTAATAATTAAAAAATCAGCTTCTTTCACAAACTCCTTACTTTCAATATCAGTTTCATTTCCATCCAATTTAATAGAAGTAATATTCAACTCTGCCGAATGCAACTGAATTTTATCAGTTTCTTTTTGGCATATTAAATGTATTTTAACTTTTCCTTCAAACGAAAATCTGGTTCCAAATATACAGAAGTGAAAACTTCATAATGTGATGGTTCTGTATCTCCTGGTAATCTGTGGTTCAAAATTCCTTGGGAGTTGACGTAGGATAAAATCCAGAAAAAAGTTAATAATCCTTGGATTTTTTTGGAGAGACACTTTTCACTTGCCATGGTTAGACTTAAATGATAATAAATATTTGATAAAAATTATTGTATAATTCTGTGAAAAAATTGATACGTTTTATCGGACACAGATAATGATAATTTGAATTCTAAAAGTTTATATGCAAAAACAAATATTGATTTGCTATACATTTTAATTTCCTTTATAAGTAAAGATTTGATTGTAGCAATTTATATTCACTATTGATGAATCACTGCTGAAAATATACTGATATTATATTTAATTAATGAATTTAGATATTGTTTTAATAAAGCTTCTTGTTTTCATTAACTATAGTCAATAACAGGTAAGTATACTTACCTGTTATCAATAATTTTTTCGATATCTATTTGATTAAAATTATTTCATACAAATATTTGTCTTTCGCCAATATTAGCACAATATATCTAAATCTAATATTAAAAATTTTAAATAATATTTCTCACCATTAAATTTATATTATTTGACACAAGTTTATTCAATGATGGTCTTCACTTTACTAATCTCATTCATGGTAAAATATTTATGATACATTAAAAAAGACTGATTAGTCATGATGCTATTATCATGAAATTGAATATCATTTATGATAAAAAATTGTTTGCAAATATTAGAAGAATTACGATAACAAATTGGTTTTCTATAAATTGGTCATTATTTTAAATAAACAAACAAGATAGCAATAGTATTATTAATTTGCTTTACTATTTAGTAGCTGGAAAAAATATTTGCGACATGTTTTCAAAGGAGTAAGAAAATACCAATTTTATTTTGAAATTAAATTAAATTTTATTTAAAAATTATTTAATATTTAATATTTATTAAATTTCAGTTTAAACTAATTCACTTTTAAATCCAACTTTATTTTCAATCTAAAATACTCCTAAATAATCGTTTGTAGTCAATATATCCTTGATTGAGACATAAATTATATTTTAATTTTTTTTAATTATTTTTTTCAAAAACTTGATATCAAGCAGTAGTGATATCGATTTTCACTTTAGATTACAGATCTGCAGATACATGTAATATGATAGCAAGTGAAATAATGTTATATTCAGTAAACTAATATAATTATAAATATAAATATTACATCTTAATTTTTATCGATAATATTTCAATAATATATAGATAATATGGGATATTATAGAATATACTATATTGGATTTTAATTTTTATCAAATTTTAAAATTGCGCCCATATTATTTGCATCAATTTAAACATACTTGTTCATAATTGCAAATGTTTCAGGAATAAATGTACAAAATAATTAATATTAATTGTATAAATAATTGTATAATATCTAAAAAAAACTTTTAATTTATTATCAACATTAAAAGGCATGAAGAGCTATAATATTCTATGTAAATTTGTTCAAGAACAATAAAATATTATATATTAATAAAAATAATAACTATAATAATAACAATATTAATTAATAACAATAATAACTATAATAGTTCTATGAATTAATTAGTCCTTAAAGAATTTGACAATATAATATTATCTTATGTGTAATATGTTTATATACTAAACAATAATTTATTTTGAAATACTTTGATTCTTCATCGATAAAAATTAATTATTTAATATTTTTTAGCTTGTGCTATGGTTAATTTCTTGTAATTTCTATATAAAATTACAATATAAATTTCATTATCAGCAAACTTATCAAAATTATATTACCCTGCCCATTATCCAAATAATGTTTGTTATTCCCAAATAATTCCTTGTGCAATTATTTCTAAATGCTATAACGATTTTTGACATTCTTGAAATACTCAAGTGCATTTTATAAACGTAAATACATTTGCAATAAATTAAAATATGTACCCGTGTATTTAAATAATGTTATTAGTCATAATTATAAACATTCCTTAACAAATTAATCAAACTGATTTAAAATTAAGATGTACCTTACCAGTTGTGACCAAGGTGAAACAAATTCGATAAAAATTGGCGATTAATCGATTGATTAAGTGTTTATCGAGCGTAAATTAGGTTTTCAATGATGAATTTGTTAGGAAGATGTTTTTTTCATTGGTTCTCAAGATTTTATTTAGAGGTCTTACGTGATTAAATATAATTGGCACTTTTGAAAACATAAATTTATGATGCACTATGAATAGTAATGTAATGTTAGTTAAATTATCATTGATTGTCCATAAGGTAGTATTTTTGAAACCGTACGTTTTCCATTTATAGTTATAGTTATTTATATTTAATAACGATTTTATTCAAAAATATATTTTTTTATATTTAACCATTTGGAAAATGATTTCTTTCATATTTAACAAAGAAAAATATATATTTAGCAAAATATTGAAAACCAAGCAATGAATTCAATAGTGTTATTTTTTGCATACAGTCCTTTGAATTCTATTAGTGATTCCTTTTCTCCTCAAGAAGCCAAAGTAATTGATAAAATATTTCATACAAGTAGCTAAGAAATACTATTATTACATTTATAATATATACGAAATACATGTATATATTAATATATATACAGCATATTTTATTGTAGATCATCACTTCTGCAATTTTTAAAATATTATATTATGTTGGCGTTTAAAATTTATATAGAAGGGCAACAAATTTTTGTTGAACTATTTGCATCTGTACAAACTTTTATTGGCAATTTTAAATGCCAATTTTCTTATTTTCAAATTAACATCATTTCGGTTATTTATGCTAATTTGGATGTTAAATATACGGATTGTAATTTATTGAATCAACTTGGAACAAAGTTTTATTATTATTACTTATTAAGACGATCAGGATAGACAAATTTTTTTTATTAAGAGCAATAATTGCTTGGCAATTTATATTGCTAGGATATTTATTTTTGATTTAACATCATTGCGGTTGTTTATGCTATTTTTGATAATAAATATAAATATTCTAAATTATTTGTACTTAAAACAACTTACAATGGATTATTATTATTGTTATTATATATTTGAACAATAGGGATAAAGCATTTATATTCTCTAGATCGATATTTGCTAAAAATTTGATAGATTTTTTGCGTGAGAAACCTAGTATATTTCTACGTTGCATAATAATTTTTTTTATTTGAAGTAAAGTAATGAAATACTTTCCAAAATACTCATAGTATAATTTTCATAAGATAAATTATATAAGCGTAACAGTATATTTTTTTTACTTCCTGTAGGGCAAGTTATAGTAATCGCAAAAAAATCGAAAATGAAAATTTTTATATCTTTACGTTTCAAAACCTTCTGAAACATTTGCCATACCTCAGAAAAATGATTTATTTGTGTGTGTATATGTGAGTGTGTGCGTGTATGTGTGTATGCGTGTGTGCGGATACAAATTTTTGTCGATGATTTCGGTAAACAGGAATGAAGCGATTTAAATAATTAAAAAAACATCCGATTTGTATTGATAAGGAGACATGCTGGATAGTTTTTACCAAGGCAGGTCTAGCCGTTTCGAAGATATGGGGCAAAAAGTGCCAAAAACGGTAAGTCAGTTTTTAAGAGGAGTCCGATTTGAATAATTCAAAAAACACTTGGCTTGTATTAACAAGATGAAGAACTGATCAAATTTTCATGAAGGCAGGTCTAGCGGTTTCGGAGATTCTAGTAAAAAAATTATAAAAAACCATTTGGTGGTCAAAAATGATCATTAGACATATGCACATCAAATTATCAGATATTTATAGAGATTTAATAATGAGTATAAATTTTGTTCACATTCCTATGGGTCCATACCAATGTTCATCCGTTAGACGGCAACGCGGCGCTTACGCGCTTCGATATTTCGTCTCTATGCAGTTAAAGCAGTACGATTGCTTTGAAAAAAAGTTCAGAAGCCCAAGTAAAAATTAGACATCAAAGCTACCTGACGTCGGGGACTATATTGTTCTAGCCACCGCTGGGCCATTATTTATATTTTAACGGCTTTTTTTCATTCATGACAAATCCACCATCAGCAAAAGTTCAAAATCAAGCGTTTTTGTGACTTTCTCTAGAAGTCCTCTGACTTCCAATATTTCTTCTCCTCCAAAGAAGCCCTTTAAATCCATCGACCTGTTAACCTCTGCCACAAATCGTTGCCTATATAATCGTCGTATCATTAATAATCGAAGATTTTTTATGTATTTGTTGTTATTTGTATTCACCACAGTGGCTCCGGCTATTTATTCGTACCTAAAACACGTGTCCATCGAAGTACGAGTAGGAGAAAGTGATCGGAGACGGCTCCGTCGGTCGGCCGTAAAATAAGGAACGGGTTTTCGCCTCAGAAGTCAAGTCATATATGTTGTGATTGGTTTTGCCTCGTCTAGATATTATTATAATTATCGGTTGTGCAATATTCGATCGTGGTGAACACAATTATAATGTATTCCGTAATTTGTTGGCATTTCTGACAGTGCACTTTTAGACGTTGACCAGTGCGGGTTAGGAGATTTGTGGATTTAAATTTTTAATAGTGCCCATGGTGGGATAGTGGGACAAAATGATTCGTGGTACGTTTTTTATATTAGATTGTGTAGTAATTAGTATTAGATTTTTTTTTTTTTCATATATAAATTACAATCTGTCTTATAATTAAAAGACATTTAGTAATTAATCTGGGACTAACATAGGTATAAGTTTTTAGAGAACCACCTATTGGTACGTTTTCTAATTTATGAAAATATATACTAAGTTGTGATGATAAATTAGTATAGATAAAGGTAGTATTTTCAATAATTCATTTATTTCAACTGTCCAGCCTATAACATTTACATAAAGACATTGTAATAAAATAGTAATTTTGTTGCACAAAATTAACTAATTAACAGTTGATTTTTAATTTCATATATAAATTATATCAATA